CCCCCCCCCCCCCCCCCCATCTCTCTGATCTGCTACAACCGTATGACCCACCACGTTCCCTGAGGTCAGCGGACCAGTTGTTCCTCACAGTTTCAGGAACTCATCTTAAGCGCAGAGGTGACAGGGCCTTCTCTGTAGCAGGACCAAGACTCTGGAACGAGTTACCTCTGCTTGTCAGACAGGCCCCCTCCCTCTCGGTTTTCAAGTCCCGTTTAAAAACTCACTACTATTTAGTAGCATTCAACACCAGAGGATCTGTGTTTTGAACCTGCATGCTCCACACTGGTCATTATCTGCATCATTTTTATGTCTATAGTTCTGATTTACTTCATTTTGTATTTTGCTTTGTGTGTTACCTGTTGTTCTGTCTGTACAGCACTTTGGTTTGCCTTGTAGCTGTTTTAAGTGCTCTATAAATAAAATGGTATGGTATGAAAAAATAGAAGCTACTCCTCCACCTCGGCCAGTTGTTCTAGGAACATGACAATTTAAATAATTAGCAGGAGTGGATTCATTTATACTAACAAAACCATCCTGTTGTAGCCAAGTTTCTGTCAGACAGAATAAATCAATATGTTTACCTCCGCCATGGTATCCTGCCCACTCGAAGACTTCGCTCCAGGCGCCGTGGAAAACGGGCCGGCCGTCTTGTGAGGATCAAAGCCTGCCGGGCTGCTGCTGCGGCTTCCTCTTCAACTGAGGACCACATCTTAAATCACCTGTCCTGGCGCTGCGCCGATCCACCTGAGTCCCTCCCGGTCCCACAGGTCAGGTCGCGCTTCCACAGCAGACCTGTTCGCAGCAGCTGGGCTTCTGGGCGTTGGAGTCGCGGGTCGAACTCCACAAATCTGAGACCGCTGGTCTTAACTTCATGGACAACTTCTCCTGCTGTGATTCTTACAAGGATTGCCCTGATAAATGCCAGATCTCTGGGTAATAAAACGTTCATCTTGAAGGACTTTTTCTCCTCCACCAGTCTGGACTTCTTCTGTGTGACTGAGACGTGGCTCTCTTGTGGTGAGTTCATGGCCCTGTCGGGAATTTTACCACCGGACTGTTCTTATTTTAATCCGAGAACATCAGGCAAAGGTGGTGGATTATTAACTACTGTATTTTCAAAAAACAATGGAACTGCAAACTGGTACAGATACCAGCTAATTTTTTGAGCTTCGAACTGCTGTGTTTTGAGGTGGGCCGTTCAAATCCTGTTTTTTCTGCTGTTATACAGGCCACCCAAATATAATAAGGACTTCATGGCTGAACTCTCTGAATTTTTAACTTGGATTCTGCTCAGATATGATCGGTTTTTGATTCTGGGAGACTTCAATATACATGTCTGTTGCCCTGAAAAGCCGCTGACTTAGGACTTTCTAGATCTGATCCAGTCTCTGAACTTTGTACAGAATGTTACAGGACCAACTCACCAGCATGGCCACACACTGGATTTAGTATTAACCTTTGGTTTATCTGTTTCTGAGTTAGAAATTGGGGATGCAGTTTTCTCTGACCACAAACCCATTTCTTTCAACACTTCTTTTGTCATCGAGTCCAAACCTCCTCCCCCTCCAGCCAGGCCTTGTCGAACATTTAACCCTTCTACTGCTGCACTCTTTTCATCTGCTTTTACTAAAAACTCTCTCTCAGTCTGTGAATCCTCTTCCATGAACATCCATGAGCTAGTCACTGTACATCAAGAGACCTGTGCTAAGGTGCTTGACCTTGTTGTACCATTAAAAATTAGGCATCCAAAGCGCACCCCACACCCTTGGATGAATGAGGTCACTCGCACAGCCAAGCGTCAATGCAGGAAAGCTGAACGTAAATGGAAGAAGGACAAACTTCACGTTTCTTTTATCATGCTAAAATCATGTTACAAAGAGTACCAGGCTACTGTTAAATCAGAAAAAAACAAATATTTCTCCCATATCATCGCCTCAAACAGCCACAATCCCCGCGTTCTTTTCAATACCATTAACGCCATTTTAACCGTCCCTCAGTCTGCCAACAGGGAGGTCTCTGCAGTTACGTGTGACAACTTTGCCAGTTTCCTTGTTAAAAAGGTTGAGTCGATCAGGTCACTGATTCCTCACACCACAGCTGACCCCTCTGTCTTTGTCTCCTCCACATCAGTCTTTAACCAGTTTGAACCCATTTCCCTCTCATTTCTAAATGACGTCATTGGCCATATGAAACCCTCAGGTTCCCCTGCTGACCCCATCCCTGCATTATTTTTTAAACGAGTCCTTCCCTCCATTGGATCCTCTGTTCTTGACATTTCAAACAGCAGTATGGCTACAGGTGTAGTTCCTGACACTTTTAAACATGCAGTGGTAACTCCTTTAATAAAAAAAACCTGGATTGACCCTTCAACCTGCTCAAACTTCAGACCCATCTCCAAACTTCCCTTTCTTTCTAAGATCCTGGAGAAAATAGTTTTCACTCAATTAAACGAGTTCTTGAGTGGAAATTCTATTCTTGAGATCTTTCAGTCTGGCTTTAAGAAATTACACAGCACCGAAACAGCCTTTGTTAGGGTCTGCAACGATATTCTTCTGGCAAATGACTTTGGTCAGTCTGTAGTCCTGGTACTCCTTGACCTTACCGCTGCATTTGATACTGTGGACCACAGTATCCTTTTATCCCGGCTAGAACACTGGGTTGGGATTACTGGTGCAGCGTTAGAATGGTTCCATTCATACCTGAGCGACAGGAGTTTCTGTGTTAATTTTTTAAACACTCTATCTACTTCAGTGCCTCTTTCCTGCGGGGTCCCGCAAGGCTCCATTCTTGGACCCCTTCTGGTTTGTTTTTTGTATCTCCTCCCCTTAGAGTCTATCCTGAGGAAACATGGTCTTTCCTTTCATTGTTATGCTGATGACTCTCAGATTTACCTGCCGTTAACACCTAACAGTTCCTCCTCCATTTGTCCTTTGTTAAAATGTCTTGATGACATCAAGACTTGGATGGCTGCGAACTTTTTGAGTTTTAATGATCAGAAGACTGAGGTCATTGTGTTTAACCCTAGCTCTGCCACTGTCACTGATCCTACAAACCTGGACTCCCTTCAGCCATATCTAAAACAGTCTATTACCAATCTTGGGAAAGTTTTAGACTCGGACCTTAAGTTTAATAAACAGATAAATTCGGTTCTTCAAAAAAGCTTCTTTCAGCCAAGGCAGATAGCTAAGCTCAAGTCCGTGCTGTCCAGATCCGACGTTGAAAAATTAGTCCATGCTTTTATTACAACTCGGCTGGACTACTGTAACTCGCTTTATGCTGGGGTCAGTCAGGTCTCTCTCTCACGTCTTCAGCTTGTCCAAAATGCTGCAGCTCGGCTACTAACAGGAACTCACAGGTTTGAGCACATTACTCCAGTTCTGTCCTCTCTTCACTGACTTCCTGTGCGTGTCAGAGTTAATTTTAAGATTCTTCTGCTGACATTTAAGTATGTTAATGGCCTTGCACATACCTCTCCGACCTCCTTCATCCTTATACTCCTTCTTGGGCCTTGAGATCATCAGACCAGCTGCTTTTGGCCGTACCAAAAACCAGGCTGATGCTCAGAGGAGATTGGGCATTTTCAGTCATGGGACCTAAACTCTGGAACAATCTGCCCATCAACATTTGACAGGCCACCTCAGTCTCTACTTTTAAATCTCTCCTCAAAACACATCTGTACTCATTGGCATTTAACACAGTCTGATCTCATTTGGTATTTCGTTGTTGATGGTTGTGTTCATCCATTTTGCTTTTACTCCCTTACATTTAACGCAGGGTGATTTGATTTAGTATTTCATTGTTTCTCATTATATTTAATGTTTTTATGCTTTTATTCATGTTGCTGTAATGTGTTGTTATTAATATTTGATGCTGTGATCTTTTTTTGGTAAGCATTTTGATAACAGTTACTGTTTTAAATGTGCTATATAAATAAATGTGGCTTGACTTGACTTGAATATGATGATCAGTTATCAGTTCATTAACTTACAGGGATTTAGAGGAAAGAGATCTGATGTTCAATAATCCACATTTAATGATTTTATTTTGTTGTTCTGGTAAAGTAACTGTTTTAAGATTTATATTTTTGAGCTGATTTTTGTTTTATTTAAGGTGGAGTTCTTCTGAGGCCTTGTTCTGACAGCTTAGCTCTGATCCTGTCAGATTTCTGGGCTCACCTGTGTTTAACCCCGTGTTTCCTGACAGAAGTTGGACTGAGCTGCACTTCTCACATCAGCACTGTCGACTGCAGTCTGACCTGTTGGCTTACAGTAAGCACCGCCGCTGAAGATGACGAAGACATGGAGTGGGACAGCATTGTGAACATGACCATGTGGTAAATGTTTTTATTCAATCCTTCCTGAAAGTCCAAAATCCAGAGCCTGACTCTGTTCTTTCGCTCAGCCAATCAAGGTGGGAAGTAATAAAGAAGACGGTGAAATGTTGGGAGGCACTCAAAGACACGGTCACAGGTCTGCACGCTCTGCCTGATGTGGATGTGACTGCCCAGCTGAAGAAAGGAAGCCAGGTTTCAACCACTGTCAACCTGTATAAGATTGGTGAGCATCTGATCTCAGATCAGAAACTATGGCTCAAACTCTTCTGCAGGTTCAGACTGTAGCAGAAAAAAACTTTAACATGTTTGATTTTCAGCTTTCAGACCAGACAAAGGGAACTGTCTGACTTTGCTTTTCATTTTTTAGTTAAACCCAGAAGTCCTCGGGTCTGGAACATCACTGTGGTACCAGAATCCAACCAGACGGTCATTTATATCCAGACTCCTTACAAAAAAGATTACCTGACGCTGGACAACCAGGTCTTCCAGCTTCATATCTGGACCAACAGAACCCACATGGTACAGTGATGAGATTTTTCTTTTATTAAAAAAAGTCTGACGACATGTCTCACTGTTCTGCTGTCTCACTGCAGATTCAGAACATCTCATCAAAGAACTTTCTCCAGATTGATGAGCAGCGCCTCAGCCACGGCTCAGAGTACCACGTGAAGGTCCGATCCATCCCTGCCGGGGATTATTTGCAGGGAACCTGGAGCGAATGGAGTGAGATGGTCAGCTTCTACACACTTCCTGGTGAGACCACCCGTCCAGTCCTACAGCTGCAGCTTTCCTGAAACTACCAGCTAACGACAGAAGGTTCTGTTCTGTCCTTCAGGGAAAAGAGTTCAAACTAAGATGGAAGAGTGGCATATCTGGTATAGACCCGCTGTGTGTGTCATCTGCCTTGTGGTCATCATGGCCAGCGGTGTGTTCTTCTTGAAGAACAAGTAAGAAAGTAATGGTTTGGGTCTAAATGTTTGTAGAACCAGTTAAGTTCCACTTGTGAAGGATTTCCTTTTTCCTCCTCAGAATTTTCACCTACATGTGGCCAAGCATCCCACACCCCAAAAAGACCCTGGTGCAGATCTGCAAACTAAACAAAGTCAGTATTTTATGGATCCACATGGAGGCAGTTTGGTTTCTGTAACATAATCAGTTCAATTCAGTTTATTAAAATATCTCCAGTTCACAACTAAAGACATCTTAGGACAAAAAATATTATATATATATATATATGTATATGTAGTATGAACAGATGCTGAGATATATTCATACATTAAACGGGTTCTTCATTTTTCTGAACTGTGTAACATGCGTGCATTGAATTTAACAGAAATGTAACGAGAGACGTTATTTATCTTTGACCCATCAAAATGAATGCGGTCATTTATTTTACAGAATCAAAGTTTAACATCAAACATTTACATTAATTTGGCAAAATATGAAAATAACAACAGCATAATTAATCAATCAGGAAAACCATACGGCCATGGTTTTCCGTTGCTTCACCACAGACATTAATGAAAACATCTGGATTAATTTTCTAGCAGAAAGGAGAGTTTGAAGATGGAAAATTGAGATTTATCTTACAGAGAGATGTGTGAGGGAATTTATCTGTTTTAACCAGAACAGCACGCTCTTTGGAAATCAGCTTGGCCAACGGTACGCTTGGTCGAAATAGAACTTTTACCTTGCAGACGATAGCTTCAGCGTCGGTGTAGAGCTCTCCTTTTGACTCTTTCAGCGTCTCCGTGAAGACAGCTAAAACCTTAGGAGTCGTGTGAGGTTATCCAAACAGAAGTTATAATTCCCAAAATCGTCTCTGGTTCAGCTTGTCTGGTTTCCAAGAACTCTGAACTCCTTCAGAACTCTGAACTCTTGAACTCTGAAACTCTGTAACCCATCTCTTCTCAACTCTACTGTTGAACTGGGAAGTTGCCACATTTAAAATGGGCTCTACTTCCGGTTCATTTGACAGCCCTCTGATTCGTGGATGGACCAGAACAGAGGTGTGGTTTGTGATGTAAGGTGTTATGGAAAGTCAAGGATTGTTTAAAAACAGACAGAAAGATATCATGGAAAGACCAGACTTCGTGGTGCCACTCCTCCTAGTATCTGCTGTGAAAGTTAAACATGACATTTCTTTTCAGTAAACTTTTTAGTTGACCGAACCTCGAACTTTAACACACTTACAAATTTGCTCATTGAAGACATAAAAATCAAGAAATGCATATTACCCTGATTTCTTCTTTGAATGAGGAATAAAATCATTACTACTGTTTAAGTAAATAAAAATGAGTAGTTCACTTCAACATGTAAACATTGTTTGAACTAACACAATTTGATTATCAAAACATTTGTAAAATAGTAATGATCATAGAGAATTGTCTTTTCTACTTGATTAATTCAAGAAAGAAAGTCTCAGGATGGGTCAAACTGTATTTCTGGATTCAAATCAATGAAATGACAGTTTCTGTCCATCTGGTCAGTTTTGACATAGGCCTAGTCCACTACAGTCCCCCCTTTGGAAATCATCGCCTGTCCATGGGGATGAATTCCAAACTTGAACTTATGCCTTTGAATGTCCTTGAGCTTGATGTAATCCAGCAAGGAAGACCAAAGTCAAAAGTAATCCAGTAAGGAAAACAAAAGTCAAAAGTAATCCAGCAAGGAAAACAAAGTCAAGGTAATTCCACAATGTTCTTGGTAATTCCATTGTGTTGATGATAATTCCATAATGTTGTTGGTAATTCCATTGTAGCAATGCTTTAACCCCTTGGAAACAGAGTCTGTAATCCACTGGAAAAAGTCATATAATCCACAACGGTAAATCCACAACGATTGGAAGTGTTGATTGATCAGCATACAGAGGGGTACCCTTGGATTGAACTGAAGATGCGGCCACTGGATGAAGAGTGGAGAC